CTTCCCCCAACCCCCTTTCCCACCCCCCTTTCCCTCCCCTCCCCTTCCCTCAACCTAAAAAGCTCAGCTCTCCCGCTCTCACCGCCGCAAAGTACGCCGCCATCAGCCCCAGCTCGTCCAGGTAGTGCTCTGTTAGTCGAGCTCCGTGCAGCAGCACATGCAGAGTGTGCAGCACATCCGCGGCATGAGCCGAGTTGTGGTAGGGGTTGGTGGCTGGGTAGCCCGCCTCCAAAGTCCGGAGCAGCCGGGCCATACGGAGCGGCTCCGCGCGAAATCGCTCCAACAGACCCTCTCGCTGTAGCAGGTAAAACCCTAGGACGGATAGGGCGTGGCCTCCGCTGACTTCTTGTAGGTTGAAAGTGTCAAACTGCCAACTGTCACAACTGCACAACAGACGCTCCACTTCCTCTAGCAAGGCCGGCGGCGGCGGTGGCGGCGCCGCTGCCCTCCTGGCGCTGCCAGTTCCACTGCACGTACGGCGGCTGTGGCGGCTGCCGCCGCCGCCGCCGCTGTACCGCCCTCCGCCGTTCGCTACAGCCACCATAACTTTGCATTTGCTGTTGTTGATCAGCAAGCTGGTGTTGCCGATCCCGGACAAGGAGTCGTCTTTACCAGCGGTTGCTGCAGCTGCTGCGGCGGCGGTGGCGGCGGCGGCGGATGTAATCACCGCCGCTTCGACAACGCGGCCTTCGTTCTTGCCGATGCCCTTCGAAAGGTCATGGCCAACAGGATTGGAGTACGGGTCGCCATAACGGTGTTTGTTGCCATGAACCTCCGGATCTAAGGCAGGAAGAAAGGAAGCATCTGTCGCGACATCGGGGCCGCCGCTGCTCCGTCGCCGGGTTCGCAACGTTGTTGTGACGCTGCGCAGTAAGGAGCAGGCCAAGTTCGGGGTTCGCAGGACCTTGCTGTGCGCACCGGCAGGCAGGACGGGCGCGTCGTCACGGCCCGCGGGGGGCCCCGCTGGCCCCTCATGATGCAGTGGGTGCTCCTCATCCGGCTGCTGCTCATCCTGCCGCTGTTCTACTACTAGTAGTTGTTGTTGATGTTGATGTTGATGATGTTCGTGTTGATGTTGATGATGTTGTTGTTGTTGTTCGGTGATTTCGTCGGTAGCTGAAGATAGCAGAAAGACGTTGTCGGCGGTGATGGATGCTCGGGACCGTACGGCCGGTCCGTTGAATGGTGGTGTCGGCGGCGCCGACACCGCAGCAGCAGCAGCAGCAGCAGTAGCACCTGTCGCCAGAACCGCAACGGCGCCGCTGCTGCTACAGCCGCCTTCGCTGCGGTGCCTGGCGGCACGGGCCGCTGCTGCTGCCATCTGGTTTCTTTCAACTTCGTCCGCTGAAAAAAGGCTGAAGCGGCGGCGGGAGCGTCGGCGGCGGGGCTCCGTCCTGGATGCGTCTGCCGCCGCCGCCGCCGCCGCCGCCGCCGCAACCGGCGCGCGGGGCCTTAAGAGAAGGAGAAAGCTCGACCTCCGCCGCAGACCTCCAGTCGTACAGTCCTCCTGAAATTGATGAGTGCTGCTTTTGCTCCTGCTGCTGCAAGGAATGGCCGTTGGCGATAGTGGCGGAGGCGGGTGCAGCTGCTGCTTCCTGGAGCCCGAGGTTGGAATTACCCCGTAGTAGTTGGAACCACTGCCAAGCAGATCCAGCTCCTCAATAGTGACCCCGCACGCGCCCGCCTCCGCCTCCGCCAGCTCTTCCTCCCCGACCACCTCCTCGCTACCGGAAAGAATGTACGCCATCGCATCGTTAAGGCTACGGCAATACTCCTCCGCCGTCGCCGTCGCCGTCGCCGCCATCATCATCATCTGTTGCTGCGGTTTCCCAGAAGCCGATGATCCGAGTCTGGGTCGGCCCAGTGGGACTGTTGTTATCGCCATCATGGTCTTGGTCTTGCCATGATGATGACCATGATGGCCATGATGACCGCCGGCACCCCCGGCGGTACCGCCGTCTGCGGTGCCGGTTCCACCGCCACAGCTGCCGCTGCAGCTGCTGCTGTTGCTGAGCCGGGGCTCTGCAGGAGAGGTACCCAGCTGCCGCAGCAGAGCACTGGCGACGTCATTCTGTTGTCACAGGGGTGAAGAAATAGTAAGGGAAAGAAAAACATGGTCGGCCAACAGGGAAGGTGTTCCTTGAAAAATGAGCTTTTTCTCCTAAAACTGCATATTTATATGTGCATATATATAACTATGCGTATATATGTATGTATATATGTAAGATCGCGCAGATGATGGCCGCGTGGTCACTTGTACACTTGTGTTACCATCACGGGGTCTGCCATCATCGCCAATCTGTTTCCTTTCCTGAAGTCGCAATGTAACACAGGGGGGGGGTTGTGTACATCATCTCGCCCCCCTGTGTATGTCCCCCTCCTTTCCCCCCCCTGTGTATGTCCCCCAAGAATCCCGCCGTACGTACAGCAGTCCTCTTCACCGCGTTCTGCCGAGCGAGGCCTTGAGGCAAGTTCCGAAGGTACACGTCAATTGATGACGAGGAACCTGCCTCAAGGCCCCGCGCTGCAAAACGCGATGGAGATGATGGCACGTTGCAACACCCGGAGGAGCTCCACAGTTCCTTCAGCCCCCCATATATATACATACATTCCTTTATCAGAAACCAACAACCTACGTCCAGGTTTGCGCTCCTCAGCTTGGCCCTCAAGTTGAGCGGTCGGTACACGTCCAGGCGGCGCCTCAGAACCGTCCTCAGCAGAACCACGTCTCGCAGGTCGGGGGGGAGGCCGGCGAGCAGGGAAGCCAGCAGCCCCATCAGCACCTCCGCGGGGCTCTCTGAGGCAAGTAATTAATTGTTGGAAATACATATCACACATATATATGTATATATGTACATGTCAATATGAAGATGGTATACAACGTTGATACATGCATATGTATGTTTACACGACATGACATGATATGGCGAGACGCAAGGCAAGGCGCAGATCAGTTGGACGGATTCGGAGCCCGTGGTGGTGCGCGGGGAAGATGAACCACGTGAACGAGTGAAGGTGATGCGCCAAGGAAAGACTGATGCGCCCGAAGTAAAGAACAAGGGCATAACTAACCCGGTGGTGTTGCGAGGGGAGGGAGGGCGTCGTGGCAGTAATGGCCGGGGGGAAGAGGGAGGGATGGAGGTAAGGGAGGGATGATGACAGCGAGGTAACCGAGTCACTCTCAGGAGAGGTCGATTTGTCTTGTTCTGGTTCGATAGTGTTATGTAGGTTGGTTATGAATTGAGGAGGACGGGGTGATTGGGGCGGACGGGGAAGGGGCCATTAGGGTTCTGAGGGCCAGGTCTAGATAGATCTAATGGATATAATTAAATGACTGACTGACTGACTGACTGCATGAATGGATGTGCGGAACAGGGGATGGAGGCGGTGGAACAGGACGGGGGTGGCGCCACCCGGCGGAATGCACGCAGGCAGGCGATGTCGCCTCCTAAACACCCACACGAAAGAAAGTGTCGCTCCCAACCCGCCGCCCAACCCGCCTCCCAGCCTCACTCACCAGCATCCAGGGAGGGCCTCGGCTCCAGGGGCTCCTGATTGTTCTCGGCATGCAGGTCTCGAATCAGATGCGAGGGCAGCAGCGAGCGCAGCAGCATCTGGTGCCGACGCCTGGGATACAAACAAAAAAAATAATATTTAATAAATAAAAACTTTTTTCATAACTTATAGGAATTCATTTTAAATAATATTAAATAATCATTGCAAGGGAAAATGCGGTTAAGGGGGTGAGGACGTATGCCGTCCTGACTGAGACGAGCAGAGACGCAAAAGGCATGTAATGGAAAGTACTGGACATGCTAAGCAGTGAGTAGTGGTGTGGCACGTAAGATTACCTCCAACCGTCTTCCACTTCTTGAACTCTTTTCTTGGACTTTCATGAGTATGGTCACAAGTAATTACATCACCATCTTCGGTGCATGTTGCTGCTGGAAGTGAAAACTCAACGTAACTCGCCGCGCTGAAACGTAACTCGCCGTGCTTCGCGATTTGTTGTAATCAACCCCACCGACACGAATACCACCTTTTTGTCCCACCGGGATATCAGCAGCCAGAAAAGCAACACGGACGCCAGCAAGGACGTGACGACCACTGCCGCCACCACTCCGCCGTACCATGACGGCATCCAGCTGCTGCCGCCCGCCGGGCTCACGAGCAATGTCCACTGCCGGCCGCGATGATGATATGGCGTGTTGATGACATACACGCGAACGAGTCACAGGGGCGCAAGATTTTAAAGGGGTTGCGGTGGCACGTGTGACAGAACAAACAACAAAACCAACGAAAAAAATAAAGGTAAAAATCAGCAACGCCACGGCCATGTGGCCCAGAATCTGCGCAACCTCACAGAACCCTAATGTGGTTCAACAAGGGCCCCCATCCGCCCCCACCCCCACACCCTCCCTGTTCGTCAGGTGACCGTTTTTGCTGTCTGCGTTTTATGATTTCTTTCTCTGACCTCTCTCCTACCTCTCTCCTACCTCTCTCCTACCTGCATGCCCGGCCCCAGATCTACCGCCATCTCCACCACATGCCGCCTCCTGCTACTGCTGCTGCTGCTACTGCTGCTGCTACTGCTGCCCCGGCAATCTGCCATGGGGTGGTTCCTGCTAGCATCAATCAGCAGCATCTGCCCCTCCTCCCGCTTGTCATCGCCGCCTCGAGCACCTTCACGGCTGCTACTGCTGCTGCTACTGCCGCCGGTGTAGTAGCTCCCAACTGATGAGTCGTTATTTTTACTGCTGCCGTACTGTCGCCATGCAGGTGCCAGCAGAGCGTACCGGTAGCCCAGGGCCGCTAATGTTTTCAACGGCCCCGAAACCATGGCATCCCCCAGAGGCACGCGCAGCGCGTCAAGTTGGACGAGCACGATGGCCTTGGCAAGGCGGGTGAGGGCAGCAGCCAGCAGGCAGGGGCCAGCAGACGGTTAGGACGATGTCTAAGCGGTGTGTGTACGTGGGGAAGTGCATACGTACATACCTACATACATATGCACATAGAACTGGTCCCCAATTTCAAACGCAAGCACACGCACGTACACACACATACATACATACCCCTATACTTATGCCGCACGTACATACATACATCTGTACTTACTTACGTGCCGCCATAACTACTAAGGTACACCCATTTGAATGGAATTCCCCAAACCACTCTCACTAACACCATAGCCACGAACACCATAACCTCCCACATCCCCACCCCGTACCCACCAGTCCCCAGAATTTGGTTCCAGTGGTGGCGTTATATTCGCACAGTGCCCCGCACACCCCATTCGGTTCATCTGGGCGACCGAAAGTGTCTCCTGGGTCCACCACCGGTACGTGAATGGACTTACGAACTGCCAACAAGGTTCCGACATCGCTGTTGCTACTGCTGCTGCTGCTGCTGCTACTGCTACTGCTACTGTTGCTGGTGCCGCCGTTTCTTGTGACGCCATGCAGTTGAGGCAAAGGGCCCTTGAGGGAAATATCCGGATTTGATATTGCCTCCAGGACATCATCGGCGACTGCAGGATCTGCAGAC